GCTGAGGGTAAAGGTGATGGATTGGCCAAGCATGTCTCCAGACCTAAACCCTATTGAGTATCTGTGGGGCATCCTCAAACGGAAGGTGGAGGAGCACAAAGTCTCTAACAAATAAAATATTTACAAAAATGTGAGGGGTGTACTCACTTCTGTGAGATACTGTATATATCACACCATATATTGCCGTTTTTACAATATTTTTAAATAAATATAGCCCTGTTGAGCATAAGATTTTTTTAAAAACATTAAAACCTCCCCTCTTTGTTTTTGATTTCCTTTTGTCCTTGATATGGCCCCCACTAGCAGATAACAATCATCCATACACTGTGAAAAGAGAGGGGGAGAGAGGAGGATGGTTGGCCTGAATCGGAATATAAATGAGTGAAGATAGTGAGTCATTGAATGAGGCATACGAATCATGAATGCGCTGAAATGATCCAAATATGTGCACTCATCTAATTACACAAACTTACTCACAATTCCATGATCAGACAAAAAGCATGCATTAAACTCTAGGTATCTGGGTCATGCATGTGTATTTGTGAGTGTTCACCTCGTATAATCTCTGAAGACTCCCTCAGACTGTCAAATATCAGGAGCTTTTCATTTAGAAGAAACCAGATAGGACCACCTGGCGTCACAAGTCACACTGGCATTGTCGGTCCATGTCATCTTAAATCTAGTATGGGCATTTCAGCTGGTATTTGTGAGTTTGATGTCATGCCTAGCGGCTGCCTTGCCACCTCAGGCGGTTATGAGGCTGGTACATTACCTCTGTATCCCACAGTGGACACTAAACAGGCTGTTGCCATGTCAACCAGAGCATGGTTCAGAGGGATAAAGCGCCGTGGGACTGTCATTTGGGCAGAACCAAGCCAGGCCACGCACCGACCGGCTTGTACGGGACTCATACTCACTAATGAATTATGTATTGATGCAGACAGAATCTGCATAATTATGCAGAATTCTAGTTGGTGAATATATAATGAAACTAGTCCAAATGAGCATGCAAGGAGTCAAGGATGTATAAAATGTGTAGACGCTGTGTGTAGACTCTCTCTCGTCCCCTCAGACATATGCTTTCAGCTGCTGTAGGAGAGACCTGTGACATCATCTACATGAAGGTGGAAGTTGGTTTTGTCAGACGCAACTGAACAGCTTGGGGGGTCTGTGCTAAAACTAGTCAGCTGCCTACTCCTTACATAGTCAGCATCCTTACAGAGAAGTAACTCCACTCACAGCTGAATCTGATAGTTTAGAGTTTGCCATTAGCATGTTGCAGACAGGCACAAATTTGTAGCACAAAATCTTTTTAATTTTTAGTAATTTTTTTATTTAACTTAATTTTTTCTTAATTATTAAGTAATTATTTTTTATTAATTTTGGTAATTTGTGTGTGTGTGTGTGTATATATATATAAAATATTTTTTAAGTAATATTTTTTTGTCGAATGATTTTTCTTGCTTCATCTACCATTAGATTTATATGAAACGGCATTTTTGAGTGTAGTACATCCACACAGATGTGTGTAGCACGCACACACACACACACACAGCCAGTCACGCAGGGTAATAAATGGTGGGCTGTTGACGTCAAAAGAGGGAGGAAACACACACACACACACACACTTGCTCCTGCACGAAAACCTTACCTGGTAGCTATGCTCATGTTCATTTTCTTTTAAATGGAGTTTCTGTTCCTAACCCTTTTTAATTTCTCTCTATCTCTCTCTCGCTTTCCAGTATCATTGCAGATGTTCCTTTGGGAACTGAATGAATATGAAACAAATGCGGCATTATGGGAGAGGCTGTAACAGTCACATGTCTGGTGGCTGGTGACCTTTGTGTGTTTGAGAGAAAGATAGATTTATGAAGGATGGATGAAGCGAGACAGCAAAAGAGAGAGATGTAAGGCCGGTGAGGTTGAGCTCTGAGCCAGAGAGTGATGTGTAGTGGCCGCCGGGGTTTCCATGGCAATACTGGCAAGACCATCGATCACAAGCACTCATTCCTGAATCCTTCTCATATGCGCTCCGTCTTTTCCCCCCAGAAGTTTGAGCCATGCAACATCTCGCTTTTACAAGCAGGCTAAAGTGCATGTCTTAATCCTGAGAGAGATTGTGTGTGTGTTAGTGAAGACACAGCAGGTCGATTTTCCAGAAGCTGTTTGTAAGAGCATTTTCCCACTAGAGCCTCAAGAGGATTTATTTATTTTTTACAAATTTAATTAGATTTCAAATCATTTAGAAGATTTCAATGTCCTAATGTTTTGAGAATAAACAAACAAAACATCAGTTTTTGTAAAAATGACATCTTTATTCTCAAAGCATTCTGAATTTATTCCCCCAACACTATGACTTTGTTCAGCGAACATTGCAAATTTATTGTAACATTACAACTTCATTCTCAAAACATTACGAATTTATTCTCAAAATATAACCTACTTCTCTATCAAAAACATTTTCTATCAAAACATTACTTTATCAAAACATCCTTTTGTGCAAAACATGAATTCTTGTAACATTACTACTTTATCCTCAAAACTTTACACATTTATTTTCATAACATTGACTTTAAAAAAAAAGACATTCTCATAACATTACGACTTTTTTCTCATACATTGATTTTAATCTCATAATGCTATTACTTTATTCTTGCAATTTTGAACTTCAAATTTGACAAAATCTTGCTTTAATGGAAAGCCATGTGATGACTTACAGTAGTTCAGAAGCGTTGCCAGTCAACATATAGTCAAACTATCCTACATTTGACCATTTATTGACCATGGTATTTTTGCAGTTTTTGTCCATTTCAAGTGTTTTTTTACTGTTTTAAGCACACCTAAGAACCACTCCTGAGGTCTGGGGGAAGTGATTTTGGATGGTGTGAAATCAGGGTGGCACGGCGGCTGTTAACACTCCTCACATCTGCCGTTTAGTACACTGTATGACGTGTTTAGAAAACGCATTGAGATGGAGAGGAAGAATATCTAGGAGACTAATCCAAATGAAGAATGAACAAGTGAGTCAGCTCTTGCCTTCGGACAGAGTCGGAGTACTACTAGGAAGTGTGTGTCTGTGTGAGCTTTGAGTTCTTTTATTTCCTGCCTATGGTCTTTGTTACCGAAAAGGTCACTTAGTTTATTCATGTTAACATGCACAGACAGGCAATGACTGCTGGTTATCTGTGCAGTGCGATTGGTCATCTGGTCAATGGAGTCTCAATCCAAAGATCAGCAGATTGTTTTCTGGTGCTACTATAATTGGATACGAGGTTTACATTTGATTTATGGGCTGTACAAGAACTGATACACAATTCGCTTTTCCAAGAACACTGAGAGTGTGTTTTTGTGCACTAACCGTGTGTGTGTGTGTGTGTGTGTGTGTATGTGTGCAGGTGATCCATCGGCACTTCTATCTGAAGCGAGTGGAGATCATGGCCCAGTGCGAGGGCTGGATCTGTGATATTCAGCAGTACAGCAGCGATAAGAGAGTCGGACGAACCATGTCTCATCACGCAGCTGCACTAAAGGTACAACACTATGTGTTCACTGTCATACAAATGGAAATTGTGCCATTTGTTGTGTCTTTAAAACCGATTCCATGCGTTTTTTTGCAGAGGCACACGGCTCAGCTCAGAGAAGAGTTGTTGAAGCTTCCCTGTCCTGAAGGCCTGGAGCCGGACGGGGAGGAGTTTTCCGAGAAAAGCACCTCGCTGATGGTGAAAGAGCTGCCAGGTCAGGACGCAGAGAAGCAGACGGACAGCCCGGATGCCCACTGTAGCGATGGCCAGCTATGATCCCCTGTCCCCCTGAAGCCCCGCCCACCGCCTTTGACTATCCATTGATATTGAAAAAAGACTGGATGGCTTTGGTGATTAAGCCATTTTTTTGTCAATATTTGTATGTAAGAATCTAATTATGTAATAGCATAAAAAGAGAGGACAGTCAAAGCAAAGAAAATACAAGGAAATTAATCCGCTTACACCCACCAACACAAGACGAACCGCTGAACTCTATGCTCCGCCCTGAAGAAAACAAAGAAAAGAAAAGATCCTTTTATTTACTTGTAAAAGAGTATCATTTTTTTGTGCTTTTTTTCCTTTATTTTCCCAAATTGTTCAATAACCACTGATTGATATGTTATTAAACTTGTTTATGTAAACAAAATGAAAGATAAAATCACAGTATATATAAGGGAACTGCCTTTAGTGGAGAATGTTTACCAAATGTTAATTTCTCTCTTTTTTTTCTTTTCTTTTCTTTTGGACTGTTAGTGCAAGGACAGTTTGTAAGTGAGAATATACTGGTCATTCTTTAAGCGAACTATTTAAAAGAAGAACGTAACGAACACGCGCCCCATACACACTCTTGAGTCCCCCCGATCCTCTGGTGACCCTCTGACAGTGCTTTTGGTTTCTACAGATTTATGTACACTTCAATAATAAAGCCTGAAACGGACGTTCAGAAGTGCTCTGATGACTGGATGCTCTCTTTCAGGCTGATCAATAGCACGTTTTGTTTTTGCCCTCTCTCTGCTTTTAAGTGCAAGTTTAATAAATGCAACCTGTTTTACTTTGCTTGGAAATACTAATTAATGTGGGTCTGTAGATGGCAGATTGTGGTGAGTGTGTGTGCGGTGCGTAAGCAGGGTTTACTTTTATCTTTTCCTCTTTAATTATGACAGGTTGAGAGAGAAACAGTTTTCAAATCACTGTCAGCTACAGACGTAAAAGTATCTAAAACGGTGCTAGACAATGAGATGAATGAAACACTGGATGTATGCATACAATGCATGTGGCACATTCCATCAATTTGGAGTCCTTGACCTTCTTTAATGTATCCAACAGTTAGAATCATAGAATAATTTTAACTTGTATCTGTTTAATTGATATTTAATGTATATTAGTAAGATTACTGTTAAGTCAGTTTAAATACCAAAGAATTGTAATATTTTAATTGCCCCAACGTTTTGCATAATGAGGTAACGTTCCTTAAAAATGTACACTACCATATCAGAAAGATTTTTTTTAATACTTTCAGCAGGTATGCATTAAATAGATAAAAAAGTGATAGTAAATACATTAATACTGTTCTTGTGATCTTTCTATTTATTGAATAGTCCTGAAGTAAACATGTCATGATTTCCAAAAATATTAAGCAGCACAACTTTTGTCGACATATAATAAAAATAATAAGATACTTTTCTTGAGCACCAAATCGGCATATTAGAATTCATGTGACACTGAAGACTGGAGTAATGACTGTTAAAAATTCTACTTTGATCACAGGAATAAATTTCATTTTAAAATAAATTAAAATAGAAAAACAGTTATTGTAAATTGTAGTAGTATTACTGTTTTTTTTTTTTTTTTTGTAAAATAAATGCAGCATTGGTGAACATAAAAGACATTAAAAAAGTACACTAAACTTTACAGGCGTGAACATCAGTTGGACCCTTTCATTACTTTTTTTTAAATTTTATAATTTTATCTGTCGTTTTGATTTCAGATACCTTTATCTACTTTACATGCTATTATATATATTTTTGTTTATTTAATGCTTAATGCTAGAAAAACACAAAAGCACACAAATCAGGCTTTACACTGTGTTTATTGAATAGTTATGGGGAAAAAAACATACATCTGAAATTTCAGGCCCTGTTTTGTACCCTGGTCAATAAAAGGGTCATATGCCAATAAAGTGGAGACATTTCAGAACTACTGCAAATTAGATCAATTGGTGTTTAGTTCTGTTTTAGAATGAAAGAAAAAGAAATCACTGTTCAGGCAGACATCGCATTTTGGTCTCGAGAGATAATCTGAAATGGAACCATCTTCAATTTTTCATAAAATCAATGTAGTTTGGATCTCTCCTAAGCTTTAGTAAGAAAAAAATAAACCGTGACGCATGCTGGTCCTGTTGGTCTAAATCTCAGCATTTTAGAAGAGATATTGATCAATCTCTGAGCATTTCTCGTCTTCAGAAAGGCAGAATTGTAGGAATCCCACTGAGAAGCACAAAGGACAGAAGGTGTGTGAGCGCTCAGCCCACCCATTATTGATCGAGTGTATTTAAACCCAGAGTGTGATTGTGATCCGGTGAGCTGAGCAGTCGTGTATTCGCATACGTGCTCATGCTCAGAGATGTTAGATGGATCCTCCCCAGTTGACTGTAATTGCAAGGTCATGATGTTATTTCTGGCAGCCCTACGTGAGCAGAGGGACTGTATCTGTCCTCTTCTGATGTATCAGGAGGACGTGGAACGCACAGCCGCGCTTCAGCGTTTTCCTGCGTCCATTAAATGCATGCATGTGATCGTCAAATTGTAGATAAAACAGAGCTGTTGTTGTCAGGGCTAGGTGTCCATCTTTTAAACTAGCACAGTGTCCTGTTTCTGTGTTTAGTGTGCATGTTCACAGGTGATATAACGCCTCTGTGACATTTACTCTAATGAGGCTTGTCCTTTAAGTGTGTGTGTTCCCTGCACGTTAACTGCTAGTGTGTGTGTTTATTTGTGTGTCATTGGCATGCACTGTATGTGAGAAGGGCTTTACAGCATGAATTTGGGTGTTTGCTGGGTTAAAGATAGATTCATGTAGCCGCTCAGATCCACATGTCAAAGAATAGTGATTCATCTCCATGTGTTTTTCTCCGTGTCCATCTCTGTCTCTCTATTTTCTTTTATAAATTCAAATGAACTTTATTATTGATAAGGGAATAATGTAGCTAAAACGCTGTGAACTAGTGTTGTAGAACTCTTAAGACCTTTTTTTGTCTCGGTCCACAACGATATTTGAAGGCCCCCCTCCACTCACCCAAAATATTTTAGAGCTTAGCATGACTAAAAGATGTATATCCGTTATAAAAAATAACCAAAAACTAAGAAATATCTTGGATTTTTACCTGTTTTAGTTAAGTTTAATGCTTGTTTTGTTTTATTTTAAATAATTTAAAGTCATCTTGAGGCCCCCTTGGAAGTTTGTTGAGGCCCCATAGTGGGCCCCTGGCCGAGAACCACGGATTTATACTGTTATGCCAGGTCAGAAATTATTGAGGGATTGTGTCAAAAATGTCACTAAAATTTAATACTATTCAAGATATTTAATAGATATTTAATAGATATTCAAGATATTGTTGCAAAAAAAGTGCTTGTATGAGATCTGGATTTTTATATTATAATATGATATAATTAAGCAATATCACAAGAGCAAGACATTCAATGAATGCATTTTTGGTTTTAAAACATTATTTTCAAGATTATTTATGCATTTGTAATTGTACCAATTCAGATGCAGCTTCTGTGCCACCACTGCAGTGCAAAGATGAATTTTGTCATTAGAGATTTCATTTGATTGGTAACAGCTCTAAAAGTGTCTTATTATTCTAAATGTATTTTATGATTTAAAAATAAGACATTTTTCAGGCAGTAAATGTGGACCTTTCAGATGAATTTGAGCAGTGCTGGCCTGGTCTGGTCTTGGTCTTGGAAAAAAAAAAAGTATTAGTTTCTGCATGTTCTAATGAGTATTATTGTTTCAAATCATGAAACAGGTTTGTGTCGCCTGACTTTGATGACATGTATCTTCAGCACAGTTTGCAGTGCAGGGTGCAATATTGACAATATTACATTTTTTGTCTCTTATAAATGCACATTTGACAGTAGCTTGAGCTGACAGTAGTAGTAGCTTGAGTTAGGATGGAGATGTACATTTATGTTCATTATCACAAACAGTATCATCGGTAAAAACTGTAACAACCTCATTTTTATATGGTGAAATTGAATTTTTCTGACTGTTTGAGATTTATTAAAATTAACCATTGGTTGCTAAGGTGCTGCTATGGTGTTTCTAGGGTGTTCTGATCGGTTGCCAGAGCGTTTCTACAGTTACTGATTGGCCCAAGTCAAAGGAGTCTCATGATTCTGGTCCTTAGATATGGCTTGGGTCCCTCCTTAAAGGCACAATATGTAATTTTTGCCGCAAAATATATAACACCATTCTAGTGGTTTTTGGATATTTTAATAAAAATATCTTACATATTCTGCCTTTAAATATGTTCAATGTTTTATCATCCATCAGGCAAAAAGTCCAGTTGCTTACAAAAGTATCAGCACAACGCAATAAGCTTCATTGGTTTGAGGTATTATTCATATTTCTAGCACGAACAGGAACTTGCCATGCCAAAGTTTATCATTTAGGATTAGGGGTTTGTTCATTTCCCTCACCATAAGTATGTGCAACATTAATAGTGATGCTTGCCACAGCAAACACCAGTAAAAAGACGAGAAAGGGTAAAATAAAATAGCTGAGAGAGGAATTTTGTATAATCTTTTATGAGGGATCAATAAACAACCGCTGCCGTATTTTTAATTTTTTTCTTGAGACTGCACGGATGTTCTCTTTCAGTATTTTTCTACTGAGAGATCTTCTCTCTGCCTTTATCTTTCTGTCTGTTGGAAGCTATTTCCCTCCTCTCCTCCCTAGGGTGCTGTGTTTGTGTTGGAGTATGGCTCTTTGCACCCTGCAGGTGTTGCCTCTGTTGTGTCGGACCGGTGACATGCTTCCCTTTGTTCCCCAAACAAGCCGCAACATTCGAAGTCGCAGATCCAAGACCTTGAAAAATGGCTTCAATCATTTGAGAGCCGGTGTGCGGGTGACAGTTCGGTAAATTAGACTCCAGTGGCCACTGAGATAAATCACTGTGAGGGACTGAAGACATCCTTTTTGCATAGTCTTTCACAACTCCAGCAGCTACTCGGAGGTCTGATCCCGTGGATCGTTGCTGTAGAAATCCACACAGTGCTTAAGATTTAAATAATGCAGATTGGGAGGGAAAAGAGAGAAGTAAGCAGAAAGAAAGAGCTACATCCTCTGTTCTTCAAAAATAATAGGCTGTTAGAGTTAGCCATGCGTACTGTGCTTTCATGAGCTGATGTTTCTACCCTCAGTGTGAGCATGGTGTAGTTCAAATCATTTCATGTTGCCTTTAACTGTAGACCAAGTAAATTAACTTTTGCTGGTCACTTTTTGGGAAACCAAGACCATTTTCAGAGTGCAGAGCCGTGGTATAGCAGTTAGCACACTACAAATGCTACTAAAATCTGTTTTGCACTTTTAAAATAAAACCATTCATAATAAAACAGGTAGTAAAAAAATACAGAAAAGCCATAAAAATTGGCTTTCCATGAACAGTGCCTAATAAACATGTATAAACAATGCAAAGTGTTAGCACATAGACACAAAACAACATCAGATACACATCACAATAAAACTTAATTTCAACTAAATAACATAAAAGGTATCATAAACTTAATACATAATTTTACGACAGATTGTAAAATATAAATGTATAACAAAATATAAATGTAAAATAAAAAGATTGTAAAATATAATAAAATGATGAATCACATAGCGGTTTCTGAAAATGTCAGTTTACATAAATTATATGGTTTCTCATTTTTAACATTTAACAGTATTTTACCATTATTATTTACCATTTACAAAGTTTTGTTGAATGTAATAAAAAATTTCACAGTAAATTGTTACTGTGTGTGCATAACTTCCATAATGCATAAATATACATTTTGCTAAAATAATTTGCATCCAAAAATGCAAGCAATTCGAACATCTTCCATTAAAACTACACCATTAACTGCAGTACGAAGAGTTTGTTGCAGTCGGTGGACAGACTTTTTATTTAAAGACAAAACCATAGTGTTTTCAGTAATGCAGTGTTTAATAAAAAAGCAAATAAATATCAATTTAATGTTTTGTTTGTCCCCTGCTGTACATGCATATACACACGGAACGTACCAAACTGTGATTTTTGTGTAGGCTATGTTACACCCCAACTTAAACTCGCGTTTGAATCATCAGTGGCAAATTTTTTAAATATGAAAACTTACTTAAAGACAGTCAGAACGGCCGGCATTGTATCCCAGGATCAGGAAACAGTCCTCCATAAAATGCGCTGCACACATCTGAATATTT